CCCCCCCCCCCAGTAAATCCGCCCATGGGGCACGTTACCACTAATGGGTAACATGGTCTGATTAACCCTTGAGTGTCAACACTCTCAAAATTGATTGCCATTAGACAGCTCGTGAAATAACAAAGTAGGGCACATTGCCACTTAAAGGGCTAAATTGTATTACCTGGCTGCAGACTCAGATGCATGTTGCTTCGGCATAGGCTTTGGTGACGATGCAAAGCTATTAGTTGGTGATCTGCCTGGTCTGGAACTTTCAGGTTTCTTTGACTGACTTGCAGATTTTGAAGGAGTCTTCAAAATAATATCATTAAATAAGACAATTTGTCAAGATGACACCACATAATGATAAGCTTGAGCTAGGCTTTCTCACAATGACGACAATTAAACCAAAGCATAACCAATGCAGACAATTAAAACAATGTGAAAAGTAAACTAACCATATACAGTACAAAGCAAATTTACCATCATTCGTCAAAAAAATTATAAAAAGTTGCTGTTATGCGGATTTATCTCACAGACTTAGGCTGAAATGCCACCCAAAAATGGCGGTGTGAGAAAGGTTAATTAATATTAACTTACTATAAATAGAGCACTTATTTAATATTGCATATGTGCAACTGAAATATATTACATATAAATTAACCCATTACATTAAGTTGCATTGCACCCTCAGGGTTTTCATTTTTGTGTGAGGCTCTGGCTAATGGCGATGAAGCTATGGTGAAAGGGAAAAGCTTAGACTATCTAGACTGCACCTCAGTTAAGTTTCACAATCATTCATGCACATGGATTATATATTTAACATGGATTATATATATAATATATATATATAAATCAATTTAAAAATCAGAGACTATGCAACTTCGACCATCAATTTATTAAAAAAAACTAAAACATACTAAAATAAAAGCATAACTTATTTAACTTTTATGCTTTTATTTTAGTATGTTTTAGTTTTTTTAATAAATTGATGGTCGAAGTTGCACAGTCTCTGATTTTTAAATTGATTTTTATATATATATATACGACAGTACTTGCTGTGAATCCTATTTGGATCCTTCGCCCTCGAGTAGACTTCGTTTGGCATTGCCATACCAAATACCAAAGCTTATATATTATATATATATATATATATAAACGTAAAAGCTCTAGCGAATTTGGGTGGGGTTGAATGAAAAAGTCTGGCAAAATTCGCCGTTCGCAGGCCTAAACTGAAAACCCTGCACCGTATCACATTGTACACTCAAGCAAACTTAGGTTTTTGTGATATTAGGAAACAGTTGCAGTCACATGCAAAAACTGAAAGCCGACAACATACATGGTCTGCAGGAGATGACGCAGAAATGGGTCGTTTAGTTGTTCTTGAAGCTGGAATAAAATGCAAAAAATAAATGTTACCAAGCTTGTATGGGTGAATATCGAGAGTTTCAGTGCATCTCGCTATATAAAACAGTTAACTAAAGAATTTGTGTAGATAGAATTTTTCGAGCGGAAATTATAAATAATTTTAGACATAGACTCTTATTAATCCTAATTTATTTTTTAAAATAAATTGCTCCATTAAGTTGAATTGCACTCTGCAATTGAATTGCACTCTGAAAAAATGCATCCAAGCAGATTCCAAATTTCTTTTATCCTACAAGAATTATGAAGGAAGCCCTCAAAATGGGGAGCCTGTACCAAATGTGGATGGAGGAAAAGTAATTAGAACCCATAGTGGAAAGTTGGGTTGGGTGGTGCGGCGAATATCTTTGGCGTGCAAGAATATGTTTTTACACCAGTTGCCTGATGCACACCAAACTGATTTCTAGAAGATAGGTTCTATTGTATTTATGTCTATCTGACTGGCATGCAAATATCATATGCGTCAACTTAGCGTAAATATTAGAAAATAAACTTTCCACCATGGAATTTAGATTGACACTTTGTAACACATCACTTTAATTAATAAAATTTACACTAGTATAGAAAATTCTCTGCCTTAAAGCTACAATTAATTATAAATGGTAATCCAAACAACATTTGTTCTACTAATTGTTTTGTATACAGAGTGCTCGTAAATACTTAATCACATTAGGTTAAATGTTTGTATAACAGCTTAAATTTTTACCTTGAACACAGAAAAAATTATGTTAAAAAGTACAGTATAAATGAAAGTTATAATGCAGTCCAAATAGGCAAATATTTACCAGTAGTGTGCTTTCTTTCTTCCAAAACTTGCAACCGTCTCAAGGCATCGGCTAAAGCGGATTTTAGAACTACGATTTCATCCCCTTGCTCTTTAACATGCTTTCTTAGACTTGTGAGGTCGCACTCACAAGAATCGCATTTATCATCCTGCCTTATTTCGCTCCCTCCTTCTGCAAATACACAAAAATATATGTTAAATACTTGTCAAACATTTCAAATACTTCGTTGAACTTGGCTTTAAATGCGTAAACGACATGCTTTATAACGGCAAACTGCTTTATATACCCGTGAACACTACAAGAACGTTCATTTGAATTTGAAATTATTTATAAAGTCAACACTCCGAAGTCAAAATGCCAAATTTGAACCACTTACCAGCAGTTTTAACGTTGCCATTTTCTTCCATTTGTCAAAACTAAATAAAGCAATTCTAGCTTCACTTTAATGCTATATTGCAAGCTTTCTTTCTTTGCAATTGAACGGGAAAACCAAAAAATATTTTCAAGAATATTCGTCGAAGTCGAGCACGAGACTCTCCCTCATTTGAAATTCCTTCGCGATTTTTCGCGCTAAAATAGTACGCGGGGAAATGGCGTGTAGCGATTCTCGCGTGGTAACGTATAATTATGGCGTGCGCACGCAAAGATATTCGTTGTTTGCGATCACGTGACTTTTCATCCAAAATGACAGGCAATCAAACAACTTGTGGACGATTTTTCTCCTATCAGAATGGTTGTAGCAAGAAAAATTGAACAGTAATCCCAAAATTACGAAAGAATTAGGGGCGGACATTACAAAAGCGATGGGCCGGGAGGGGCAAAAAAAGCGCAACCTTTACGTATTAAACTCCGCAAAAAATTTAAGCACAAGGCCGAAAAAAATCCGCGCAAGTTGAGTTCCCATCTCCCCTCCGCCATCACTTTTCTAATGGTCCACCCCTTAGGCGAATTTACATATTATAATTTGTTTACAGAATTGTGACTATTGTTTGTTTAATTTGTTTGCTTTGAAATAATTACCGCAAAGAAATTCAGCACCATTCAGAGTATACTGTAAATATAGTACACCATAAATTATACCATATACTATACATATATAAAATACAAAACAAGTGTAACTCCAAAGGTCGATAACATTTTTATAGTTATAATAAAATACTCAGTGGTTCTAAAAATTTTTCTCTAACATATATTATACCTCAGCCAACTTTCACAATGAATTTCTTCTAGCTCTTTTAAATACTAAGTTGTTTATGTATTTTGCATAATGTCCCAAAAGAAATTTTCAAATATGCTTACAGTTGCTAACAGATTGAACACCGCTGTTCTATTTTCACATTTTCTGCGCAACATGCGTTAGCAATTTTGTTGCCCAATAGTTTGCGCTGCTTGACAGGTTTGTTCGAGTTCATACGCGTTGGTTCATACAGAAGTAAAAATGTTAATTCCTTATAAAGAATCAAAATACTTCCGCCAAGTCACCCAAATATTCAAGGTCTTTATAATATAATAGGCAGTTCCAGAAGTGCGTGGTTTTAGTCTTTTGTGAAGTCATACTCGTATATAACTTTTAATTATGTCTAGGAATTTGCTGATATAGCTATTAATCAGGGAATCGCCCATGCATTTTAATTTAATTTCTTATTCACGTGACTCGACAAATGTTTACATAAAGTATAAACCGATTCGAGTGTATAAATTTCAAACCGACGGACGACGAGGAAAATACAGGCTTTGATGTATTTACAAAGCGAAAATTTTCAAGGTCAAATTATGCAATTTATATGGGGGTCAAGGTTGGCTGCGCATCAGAATTGCGTGATTAATTAGCGTCATGTGGTTTCATTCTGACTGCTGATTGGCTAGTGCGTATGTACGTCGTAAAACACGTGCTCGAAAACACAACACGAGGTTTTGTTGGGAAGTTTACTTTTGTTTACGCGAAACATCGAAGTCATGTCCGACGAGGAAAATATAGACGTCGAATCTGATGAGGTAGCGCTTGTTTTAACACCGATTTTGTTCTGAATCTCAGATCTAACTCGCAACTTTCTATTCTAACTGTAGGAGACAACGGAAGACCTGCAACCGACACAATTTCTATCACAGGTGAGACGAAACGCTTTTGTTGTTGTCGAAATCCACATGGGAATACAGAGTGTGACACGTGTCGGAAATATTGTCCGCGAAAGCTTGTCAATTTCATGACATTTTCATTCTGGAGAATAGTACAGCACAATTCCATAACACATGCACGCTTTAAATGTATTTTCTTTCAAAAACACTATTTTTATGGACGGATGTTGAACGCAATTAAATTTCGTGTCTGCTTCTGTTTTCATGTCGTTCACCTGAATAAAAACATAATACCGAAAGCTGTAAGTATATTTTGATAAATTCTGCTTGCGTTTTAGGCCGACAAACGAGCACATCACAATGCTTTAGAAAGAAAAAGAAGAGATCATATAAAGGACAGCTTTTGTCATCTTAGAGACTCCGTTCCTTCGCTTCATGGCGAAAAGGTTTGGTTTACCCTTCCGCTGCATACTGTGAATTGCCCTGGCATTCGCTGTTTCGCCATATTTCCAATTTTTTAGGCCTTATCCTTGTACTTATTTATAAAATACAGTATACAGTACAGTATTGCACGCGTTTCTACACTGTCTGTCAACGCTTCGTTAAGCCGTTTGACAATAGCTAGCCTATATGACTAGCTTTCGCAAATAAAATAACGTATCTTTTGGAGAGATTTTGCAGCGATATTTCGCTACCAGCATGGCAATTTGGAACACTACAACAAGCCATAGGGGTTTTAAGTTCATTTAAAACGAAACGAAAAATGCTGAGTTGAGGTTTTAAAATTGAAAGCATTTTGTACACGACACACGTTGATACTTGAATCGTTCGTAGAAAATTTGACTGACGAAATATCACGGCTATTTTTAATCTGGTTCAGGTCTAGGCCTGTGCCAATTGCATGCCAAAAGCGAAAACTTTCTTTCCAATTCTGTTAAATAACGTATCATTTCTGTAGGTTTAAGTTTAGTGAATTGATATGGAAATTAATATTAAAATGTTTCAGTTGGTCTCTGAAATTGCAATTCACTCAACCAAAACGTGACGTTTACTCAAGCCTACTTTCAATTTTAGAAACAATACTGTAATATATTAACCCGAGAAGAAGAGATATATATTATTACATAATATTGCCCTACTTGAATGTATGCCTATTTATTCTGCCTACATCTAAAGAACATTATTTAAAAGCAATATTAGTACTGAAGGCCATAAAACACCTGTGCTAGACAAAATATTCATATTAACAGGTAGTGTGTGGGTTCTGTCTCCGTTATTAGGCATATATAATCAGGGTGCTTTATATTTCAGCTAAGGAAACTAAATAACCTGGGAATGGCCCTAGTTTCAAATTCACAGTCGAAGGGACTGTTCATATGAGATATGGCAAGCTGGGCAAATTATGCCTGTATTCTAAAAGCTCACACTCAAAGAGTGGAGGTTCAATCTGAGCTTCCCTTGAGTGTCAATGCTGTTTTTGAATAGCTGGAGTAGTCACATAGTAATTAAGGTAGGATCCTATAAACCCTCCAGCTATTCAAAAACAGCATTGACACTCAAGGGAAGCTCAGATTGATACTAACTCTCCAGCTATTCAAAAACAGCATTGACACTCAAGCGAAGCTCAGATTGAACCTTTTAGAGTACAGGCATTAATGTTGCACCACAAACAATGTCAACCATTATAACATGCATTGGTTCTCAAATAGTCGGACACAATGTAGTATCTCTGACCTGACAAGGGGCCAACGGTAATAATTTTAGGACGACCAGTGTCAACATTCAAGGTTACTCATTGTTATTTGTGTGTCTACAGGCATCAAGAGCACAGATTCTTAATAAGGCCACAGATTACATCAATTACATGAGAAGGAAGAATCATTCCCATCAGGTATGGTTCAACTATCATTGAAACGGAGCTTCGGTGGCAAAGTGGTTAGCGCACTTGCCTTTCACCTCTAAGGTCGCAGGTTCAAATCTCAGTGAGAACTTTCTCAATGCAACTCAAACCCAGTCCTCATGCAAAAAGAGTAAAAGTCAATGCTCTGCTGAAATAAGTTCTTCGTACATTTGAAAGTTGTGGGTTCTCTCCGGATACTCCCACAGGGAAAGTTGGCAGGGTGGGTTAGGTAAAAAGGGCCCACAGTAATTGGCATATGCTATTGTGGTGACCCTGCTCTAGTTGGCAAAGCTAAACAAAAAAAAGAAACCATTTGCTTTAAGTAACATTTGGTTGCTACCATAAATGTCTACATCTCAGAAGTTGATGACAATGGTAGCAAGCAAATGTGAGATTAATTCAAAAAGGCTGAAATTCACCTATATAACCTATGCATAGCTATAACTTTCCCTTGGCAAATTTCTGTATATGTTTGACATTCTGGACTTTATTCCTACACAGACTGACATTGAAGATCTCAAACAGCAAAATGTTGTGCTTGATCAACAAGGTATGTAGCTTATTTCAGAACCATCCTCAGAAAACCAGTTTCATATTATTCTGACACTGCAATCGACCAACGAAAAATTTGTTGGCTCAAGCGGGATTTGAACTTGCATCTTCTGGTGTCTAGATTGCCGCTATACCCATTGAGCTATTGAGTCAACAGGGATTGGTAGCTAGTCTTATCCAATTTAAGTGCATAAAATATTTTCGTGACGACACAAGCGTTAAGTCGTCACAAAAATATTTCATGCACTTAAATTGGATAAGACTCACCACCAATCCCTGTTGACTTGATAGCTCAATGGGTAGAGTGGCAGTCTAGATACCTGAAGATGCGAGTTCAAATCCAGCTCAAGCCAACAAATTTTTTGTTGGTCGATTGCAGTGTCAGAATAATATGAAACTGGTTTTTCGTATGTAACATATTAGCCGAATTCATATTAGGGACGGGAAACTCGTCTGTCAAAACCCGTCTGAATATGAATTTAGGGACAGATAAATTCGAATTTAAGATGAGTTTCCCATCTAGATGGGTTCCCCGTCTAACTTTCCCGTCTGTTTGAACAGGTAAGTTAGACGGGAAAGTTAGACGGGAAAGTTCGGACAGGAAACTCGTCTGCCCCCGGATTCATATTAGACAAGTTTCCTGTGTTTCCCGTCTAAGACGAGTTTCCCGTCTCTAATATGAATTTGGCTATTGTCTTACCTTTCCTTGCCCAAGTATAAAACTTTTAAAGTGTCCAAGAGTAATACTTATTATAACCTTTCCATTATAGTCCATAATATGGAGAAACAGAGAAACAGTGGTTTATTCAACACGGATGCAGCTTCTGCATTGATCTCGACAACTGACACTTTGTTAAATACTTCTCCCCTCCCTAGCGATCCCTTACTAGACATCAAAGAGCCAGATTCTGGCACATTAGACCCTTTTGTAAATATTGATAGTGTCGATGGTGACGCAAACACAGAGGAATACACGACACCAAGTAAAAGGATAAAGACTGATGTTTGACATATATACGCAAACTATTTTAAATCTTCCATAATATTTGATAGTTATGGACTAGCTATTGAATTATTTTATTTGCACAACCGAAGGGGATTTTATTGGACTACAGGATGATTACTATTTATTTTGTCTTAAAAATCACACCAATGTAATATAAGATGTCATTTGATGTCGCTAGTGAATCTGTAAATATAACGCACATCTTGAATAATAAATATTGTGGATGTTTATTTGCACTGCAAACTTTTGCAGATGGTACAACTACCTGATAAATGTACAAAGAAGTTTGACAATTCGAGCGAAGGACCTTCATCTAGAAGTTAGGAATGGTGATATTGGATCTAACATCAATTAAAAAATTGTACCTTCAATTGGTCATCAACCTTGCCAGTGTGTTGTTCGCACTCTTATGAAAATGTTGATAAGGGCAAAGTAGAGCACATTATGATTATGGAGATACTCTGCTTTATCCATTGATGCAGCAATACTTTCCTCTTGATGTTAAAAATGTCTAAGAGACGGAGTAGGTGCATTGTAGTAATGAGTTAAGTTGTATTGCACCCTTATGTTGCAAAATAGTTACATTAAATATTATTTACAAGTTTTAGTATGCAATGAATGAATGGCATGCCAACTTTAGATCACTGACCAACAAATTGAGACTCATGGGTAGTGGTCTGTTTAAACTTGCAATTTTTGCTGTGATTTTCTTCCAATGAATGTGAACGAGTAGATAAGTTGTGAATGCTCTGACAAGGGTACATACATATACTCAGAAGGAAGTCACAGCAAAAATTGCAAGCATTGACAGGCCGTTATGGGCTATTATGCAAAGGGCCCACTGCATATATGTTTGAAGTGTTTATAGACCTTGCTTGGTAATTTACCTACAAACCATTGAATGCTTCTGTAATTAAGCCTGTGTTCTACATGTCTACGAGACATATAGACTGTATATAAACCAGACAAATGTTGCGCATGATAGCACAGTTCTTCCGTGGTGCCCTTGTTGGAATTTCAAAATCATTAAGTTTGTATGGCTTTCACCTGGAAAAGAATGCAGAGTACGTATCACATGCATGTCCGGAACAAATACTACTTGTGGAAAGCAAAAAATACAATTTTATAATATGCATCACAATTGACTCGAGATAAATCATCCTGTTCAAGGCAACAGAGCCGGGGGGGAGGGCTATGTCCCCAAAAGTTGAAGCTTGCACGCTCTTCAAGAGCAATCAGAGGGGGGGAGAGTTTAATTAATACAAATGTGTCAGATTCTTTACTGTCTAAAATGTAAGAACTGCAGATTAAATTTCAACACAGAAGGCAGGAAATTATTAAATACCATATAGAAAACACTTGGATGTCCCTAGAGTCTGTCTAACCTCCACTACCACCTATGTTCACGATAGATCATTCCCCTTATAGTGAACTGCTAGAATAGTGTGATAGATCTACATCATGGCAATAGTGCATCTCTTTTACAATTTACACCAAAGTATTAAATTAAACATCAAGCTATATTTCCTAACCTATTTTACACTTACTTTTCTTGGTGAAATCAGGCTCCAACAAATGGTCAATAATCCTCGGACATAAATAAAACTTGGTGTAAAGCAGGACAAGAAGCACTCCCAGTGTTCCGTATAGCCAGTATTGTCTGTCTCGTATTTCCAACATGAACACAGCAAGCCCAGCAAAACATGCCAACAAATTTAGTCGATACTGTTACAACAAGATAACATGTTTTACTATTGACATTTCAAGTTAGGAAGTCAATTAACATAGAAATTAACCATTATAAACCCAATTAAATAATACATATATTTAATTGGAATAAAGTGACTCTTAGTAAGACAGCTAGTTACCTAGTAAAACTGCAACTAATCATCAGTAGCAGCAAAAAAATTCCATGTGGGCAGGCATATTTTTTAAATATATTTATCATCGAATCGCATATTCATATTTAGTAAATAGATGCATGGAAGAATATGTTCAAATCATGCAGGACAATCATGTGGAATAATTGTTTCAGATGCTATTTAATTTTCATCTGAATTACCAAGAATCCACCATCATGTTCTGGCAGGCAGCACTTAAACGTAATACTTATTGTGATGAAATCCTTTGTGATGAAAGATACTGAAAACAAGAATTCTTATTTAATAAAAGATTGAAAAATTTCACGATAGCCGGCAGCCAGCTATCATCGTCAGTAAACTGCTGGTAATACAGCATAAAGTTGATATTTTATAAAAATAAACAGATTCCAACACCGTAGTTTCCCCTAACTGGCGTCTAATAAACAATTCGATAATTAGAACAAGTTGCTAAAAACTTTTAAGAAAAAATTCTAACATTTTTACTTTGCAGTATTTTTACTACCAGTACACTTTCCTCTGCAGAGACTGTTATTTAGTTTAATTTTAATATACAGGCTATATAACATTGATCCCTCTGTAAACACATACAGAGATCCCTCTGTAAACACATACCAGTGTGGAAAGTTTGTATCGCACAACCGAGATATTGGGCATGCAATTTTGATGCTTTCTATCTTTTTACTATTAATTTTTTTAGGTCTCAGTCACACAATTTCCAAACTTCCCAGTCAGATACAGTGGCACACATACACAAATTACCTGCATGCCTAAGTATACACTACAGCCCACATGTAACACCTCTAAGGTGAAGAGACCTACCAGTAATTTGACTGAATGCAATAGACCTTTCCCCTTATGAGTGAAATTTTGATCTAGATATGCCTGAACAAAAATTTCATCACAGCTTGAAAGAGCATCAAGCGGATAATATAGCCTTGCGAAGTTTGCTGTTTTTCAGTCATTTTGCATTACAAACGGGAAATTGATAGTCAGTTTGATCATCTGATTATCAATTTCCTGTTTGTAATGTAAAATGACTGAAAAACAGCAAACTTCGCAAGGCTATATTATCCGCATTTTACAACATTTCGCAACGAAACTTCGGAATATTACTAATTTTGTGATGCTCTTTCAAGCTGTGATGAAATTTTTGTCCAGACTTGTCTAGATCAAAATTTCACTCAAAAGGGGAAAGGTCTATTGCAAAAAAATTTGTATTAGGGGTCACGCCCATATTCATGTTGCCACAAATAACGTCGAATCAACGTTATGAGTGGGTGGATGGGTTTTTATGTGAACTTATCGACATTATGTCCAAAGTAACTATCAAAGTACAGACTTTATATCATAAATATGAAAGTCAAAATTCGACAACTGAATATCGATGAATCGATCGATGTTATCTGGAGTGGGTGGGTGAAGTAATTATGTTGATTAGATGTTATTTGTGGCAACATGAATATGAACATGGCCCCTTACTACATAAGAAATGTCTGCTGGTAAATAATTGGCAGTTTTAATTATCTGCCTACTGTGATACTCAACATGACATAAATGTAGTACAATATAAAATATATACAAATTTAACAAATATAGAATAGGAATTAATCTACATAAAAATAGCATTGCAATGCTTGCTGTACAATTTGAAACTTCCACAACAAAATTTTAGATACAACATCACATTCTTACCATATGAAGGTTCGCTGATGTCCCAGAAAGACGAAAAACTCGCAAAGATATCTTGTCAACATTTAACATAGCAAGTAAACATTTGTATGGAGCCCTGCTAAGGAATAAAGCCTCCCCTGACAGCAAGCCACAGGAAAATACAGTTAGAAACTTGAAGGTGACAATAACTGCGTCGAACTTATCTGGATCATAAAACATTTCGATTTATTTAAACTTTCTTTTAAAATAATTTTTTAAATTTCCAACAAAATTCAAGATGGACGAATTTTAGCCGCTATTTACTTCATGTTATACGATATCAAATGTCCATCATTAACAATGGTCCGTTTCATCCATAGATATATCTATGGTTTCATCAAAACCGACGCCATTTTGAATCGCGCTGCATTGTGGTATATCTAGTCTCAAATATTAAGCTTCGGGTAAAAACGCTAAAAATAAGAGTGTTTCATACGCTAAAATACAAAGGAAACCGTTTTGTACTTTTATGGAAAGCCCGCATGGTAAATTTTATACAAATCGATTTCGCGCGCGTCTGTACAACAGGCCGGGACGGATCTAGCCTCTTCTCCAAGGACGGGTGGAGGTTTTCGATGGGATGGTGCATGGGGGAGCCTTACTGCCCACTCTCCTCTGCAGTCTGCAACGCTACCATCGCAACATTACCATATTTGAGATGGCCGAATCTGCCTGTGCACCACCAGGGTAGATCCGCCCCTGCGCTACAACAGCCACCAAATTGAAACCTGATTTACTTTTCGGGTAGTGAGACCTAAATCACGGCAGTTTATTGCGGACTACCTACACTGTATCGGCGTCTCAGCATAAACAATAAGCCCATACATCATATAGGTAACGATTTGCGCATAGCCGGTCTGACTGCCCTTATTTACTCGTTGGTATTAACAGGCAAATATCCTTCCTGTGCGTCAGGGAAGGGTGTTGTATCCGCGTTATTCTCAGCATAGACATTGACCACTGTTTTAGTAACTCCATAGAGTAACATTTCGCGTTCCTGGTCCCCTATAACTAACCGTTTTGATTTGGGAGTGCTAGGAGAGACCTCTGCTTTCGCTGTCATTAGTTTCTCCATTTTCCATTTATGTTCGCGTTGTAGTCTCCGCTGTGATCGACATTTTGAGTCGAGTTTCGGTTTGATCAACTGCCACCGTAGTTCCATTCTATCTTCCTCCAATGGGAACTTGTGGTCTATGTGTGCTATATAAAGCAAGAATATACGATAGGAATTGTGGTCTGTGTGATAGGTTCTAGACTAAACTATCTTTATTTATTTATTTATTTATTACGGGTAACTTAAACTGCAAAGCTTTCGATCCATAAGCCCGGATCTTCATCAGTGCTAATAATATGAAAAACATTACTAGCCCTGATGAAGATCCGGGCTTACGGATCGAAAGCTTTGCAGTAATAAATTTACGTGGTGTTTCCACAAACAAAACTATTGTGTGTTTTATCGCCATGCAAACCTACAAAGAACAGTTCTACATTGTTCTCCCTAGATTTCCAGCGAAGGACATTCCTTATTGAAACAGTACTACATGCAGAAGGGGGATAGCTAGCCCTATCAGTTACAGATTATATTTAACAGTTATTCCACGAACTCGAGTCGAATATGAGCTGATAGCCGATGAGGCGCGTAGCGCCGAATCGGCTATCGCTCATATTCGACGAGAGTGAGTGGAATAACTGTTTTATTATATACACAAGGTCTGAATTCACAGACTTTGCTTTTCGGATATTTTCAATATTTTTCTATTTTGTTTATGTTTTTATCTTCGCTCTTTCGGCCGATTATTTTTTCAAAAATATATATTTTTAACCATTTTAAATTTTAAAAATTCATTTGCTAACCTGTAAACAATTTGTGGGAGTTTTTTCATTGTGTTTTTAATCCTGTAAAGGCTATAAAAAGCGAACAACTTGCCGTTTTCTCATTCGCAAACGTCGGAAATTCAGTTTCAGCCGCCATTTTGTTTTTTGCTACTAGCAGGATATGAGCTAATATCCTGCTAGTAGAGAACCAATCAGATTGCAGAATACCTCATATCCAGACCTTGTGTATATAATAATATACATTATTC